TTCTTTGATTACCATTTGTGCGGGCATATAAACTTCGAAGCCGGGGATGTTTGGGCCCATGACGGTCGAATTTCGAATCTAGGGCCCTTGGATAACAGCAAGGTCGTAGTCATCCTCTCCTAGGAAGACTCGAGAATGCTTCAGGTCAACCTTACTCATTATTAATAATATTTTGCTAGTATTTCGGCCGATCAGACTAGGGCTTCCTCGGCCACCTCCATCTGCAACATAGCCACGGTGACGGTTCGGTTGTTTCGTCGGCATTCAATTTCTGCTTGCGTTTTAACTGCGACTGTCGTCTTGTTTTGAAGCATAAGCATACGCAAAAGTAAATTAAATGAAATTTGTTGCAGTTTTTTAAACGCTGTTTACGCGTGTGTTAAGCTACAATGCAAAAACGCGACTACTCCATGCACAAATGTAAAGAGTACCTCTATGGGTGAAGGAGTACCCAAAAATTAACCAAAATGCATATGAAGAATGTGATGTCCTGGGGCAGGACCATATAGTCCAGCTCTCCAATACTTCAGTGTAGCACAAAACTTCTACATGGGATTAATCCATGGAGTATCTACATCTCGGCAAGACAGCCCAATAAACATTGTGTAGGGAATACGATCGTTAAAACTCGAGCAATGATCGGGTAACAATAATCTGCATTACAGAGGAGCATTTTGTATGTATGTATGTATGTATGTATGTATGTATGTATGTATGTATGTATGTATGTATGTACTCCAATATGGCACAAATGGACCATATGGTCCAACGATTTTTACAGAATAGCCAATAAGCTGATAAAAGTTTGTGTATGGTGTATTCGTTTATGGCTGTAATTCCCGTATTCTCCCAAAACTGGAGAAAAAATGAGAAGAAAATCAGCGGCATCAATACAAAAATGGATCGCAGGACATCCTCTATAGCATTATTACCAATTTTCTATGATCTCTGCGTATGCGATAACGATTCATAAGTCCCAAGAAATGAAAAAAAACCGATTAAGCGGATTTGGTGAGATCGTATGCGCTCAACAGCCCCTGTACGTCACATTAACATGACCTGTGTTGTCACTTTGGAATTAATACCAAAATTGTTAGCAAAAATTTTGGTTGGTAAAAAGGTAAATTTTTTCTAATTTTGCAAGATTTTTGTTAAAGCATTTTGTTTGAAAAAAAAAAAAATATAAGTATATGTATGTATAAGTATATGCTTTATTTTTCGTAGTTCGCTTTATATTATTCATTTCTATCTAAAAGTGTTGTCTACCTTATTGCATTAATTTTCGAGCGCTTTAATGAACACATTTTATATACAAATACATACATTGTATAAAAGACTCATCTTACTGGAATCCGGGCAGCTTTTGTTAGCCCAAATATTTCAAATGATTCTTTAAATAGAAAGAATCAAGGCGAATTAATATAGGTGTGTAAAATGACGTTGAGCAATACCACCAGCTCCGTCAGAATTGGA